GAATGGCAATGACAGCAGTAGCAGTAGTAATTATGATGGCGGTGGCAGTAGCAAGAATGGCAATGACAGCAGCAGTAGTAATTATGATAGCGGTGGCAGCAGTAAGAATGGCAATGACAGCTGCAGTAGTAATTATGATGGCGGTAGCAGCAGCAAGAATGGCAATGACATCAGCAGTAGTAATTATGATGGCGGTAGCAGCAGCAAGAATGGCAATAACAGCTGCAGTAGTAATTATGATGGCGGTAGCAGCAGCAAGAATGGCAATGACAGCTGCAGTAGTAATTATGATGGCGGTGGCAGCAGCAAGAATGGCAATGACAGCTGCAGTAGTAATTATGATAGCGGTGGCAGCAGCAAGAATGGCAATGACAGCTGCAGTAGTAATTATGATGGCGGTGGCAGCAGCAAGAATGGCAATGACAGCTTCAGTAGTAATTATGATGGCGGTGGCAGCAGCAAGAATGGCAATGACAGCTGCAGTAGTAATTATGATGGCGGTGGCAGCAGCATGGGTGGCAACGACTGCATCAGCAGTAGTAGCAATGGTGATGGTAGCAGCATTGGGTTTCAATAACAGCAGTAGTAGTAGCAATGACGGCAATAGCAGTAGCATGAGTGGTAGTGACACCAGCAGTAATAGCGATGATGGTGGTAGGAGCAGCATCTGTGGTAATGACAGCAGCAGCAGCAGCAACAACAGCAGCAGCAGCAGCAGCAGCAACAGCAACAACAGCAGCAACATCAGCAACAGCAGCAACAGCAACAGCAGCAGCAGCAGCAGCAACAGCAGCAGCAGCAGCAGCAACAGCAGCAGCAGCAGCAGCAACAGCAGCAGCAGCAACAGCAACAGCAGCAGCAGCAGCAGCAGCAACAGCAGCAGCAGCAACAGCAGCAACAGCAGCGGCAGCAGCAGCGGAATTAACACCCGTGACGGTACTGCTTGTTAATCTAGTCGATCATCACCACGGACGGTCGGCAGAGTCACCAATGCTCAACTTCAAATTACAAGCCAATATATGCTATCATCCTTCTTCTACGGCCGTTTGAAATCGTTAGTGCGGCCGCTGTCTGTGATCTCTCATTAACACGTGGCATTAGAGCGAGCGTGTACACCCCAAAGGCGGCAGTCCGTAATAAATGTGCGTAAGGAATGTGTGATGTCAGAATTGAAAGGGAGGGAGCGCGGGTGCGCGAATGCGACAGCTAGGCACTACACACGCCGCGGCAGATAGGAGCGTAAGGCTCATAGGGTCTATGTCCCCCAGGGTACTGCCGGAACGTACCCTGGGTACGGTACGGTATACCGGAACGTACCCTGGTAACTATTTGATATGGTTAGGGTTAGCGTTAGGGTTAGGGTTAGAGTTAGGGTTAGGGTTAGGGTTAGGGTTAGGGTTAGGAAGTAGGCGTAGGCGACTCCCTAGACTCGTTAGTGGAGTAGGTGAGGTATGGTCCGGCATATTAGATAGTACCAGGGTACGTTCCGGTATACCGGACCGTACCTATAGGGAAAGCCTATTGCTACCCGTGATCGTATGAGTGGTTACGCGTGAGTGTGTGTAGTACACCCTTGCTAGCGTCTATGTGAATGCAGATAATAATAGAATATAACGAACAGTATGAACGTATTCAGGAATCTCTTTAATTGAACATGCTTAACTATGCATCCGCCCATCACGGGGCGAATGCGTACAGTCGAGGTACGCGAGTAACATCACATAACTTACGAGGTTAAGGCTGTGAGGTAGCTGTCTCAAACCAATATCGTCTATGTCTGTAAGTTGTATATCACTATCGCTCTGTCCTCTCTCTCTCTGGTCGAACACGCGGTTATATACTGACATAGGTAGACACGCCTACCTATTGTTTATGGTCAGTCCGTACTACATTACTGTCTGTTATTGGCTAATTCTACCCTGTCTATCCCCGCGTTACAACTTTACACAGCTGGCCATGTATGCCAACCCAGAACAATAGGTCATTCCTATATCTTTAGCTATCTGTCTTTCGACGGTATTACATACCCAGGAAACGTTCCGGCAGTACTCTGGGGGACATAGACCCTATGAGCCATAGGAAGGTGGAGTAATGATGTGCAGTAAACGCGCTCGCTGGACGACTAGCTCTCAGCTCAAGGATGAGGCTTGCAGAGAGAAGATGAGCCAAAGAGGGGGAAAGGAGAATGTGGTAAAGAGAGAGACAGCAATAGTGAAAGAAACAACGAGAGACATAGCACCAGAGAGATGGAAACGACAAAGAGGAGGCAGTGCGGAAGGGAGTGATAGAAAAAGCGAAGATGAGAGAAAGAGAGAGAGCAGTGAGAAGAGAGAGATCGCTGAGAGAGAGAGAGAGAGAAATGAGAGAGAGAGGCGAGACGAGCGAGAGCGAGAAAACAGAGAGAGAGGAAAGTAATGAGAGAGAGGAGCGCAAGAGAGAGAGATGAGGCGCGAGCGAGGAGAGAGAAAGGAGAGGGAACGAGAGAGATGAGAGAGGAAGAGGAAATGNTAAATAAAAATAGAATGTCGTCAAAATAACATGCAATATAGCAGATTCTAGGCATTAATGAACACTGGTCTACTGCTCTTCAGACGATCCTGAATAAGTAAGCACCATAAAATTATTACAGTGATATGTATCTATATACCTAAGCATATAAGTATAATCTAAACGAAACTTTGAACTTAATTTATTTAAAAAATATTGGACAAGCAGCTACGGCGAGTAGTATGCGTTTTGTATTTTGAAAGTGCGATTGCAGCACAGACAGGTTTGTTTCGCAGTTACTATGTATAATCACAGATTTCGTGCCATGCTCCAAGTAAATTTGCTATGTCAGGGAAGTTTTGGATAGAGATGCCTTACGTTAGCCTACGGAGCTACGATTATGTTTCCAAAAAGCCCAAGTTTAATAACATACTATTTTACTAATTTGATAAAAGCTGAACACACAGCTGTACATGTCACGCATGACACATGATGTCATCGCTTACCATAGGTAGAGATTTAATTTAATTAGAGTCACATCAGCAGGGGACACCTGAGAATCATAAAAATGAGACAGCGAAATATATTTTTTATGTCATGCAACTGCGACGAGTAAGGACTCTATTTAAAAAGAATATTTCTAAAAAATACTGTTTATTTTAGCTGATACGGTGCATGCGCTAACAGAGGTCTTCTATTGTGACAGAGAAGAATTCCGTCTGCCTAGAGAGATGATCGGAGAGATGTTTTATGTCAAGCTACTGATATGTATACGCTCGCTAAATTTAACGTGAAACTAAAGGAAATTGTTATTTTATATATTGTAAAACAACCGAACTCACAGATGCACGGGTAACGTAGAACGCTTATCGCTATACGTCGCACAGCTGTATCTTAGAATCAGTGAGGCAGCAGGATTTATATTTTGAGTCAAGCTACTACGACGAGTATGCGCTCTATATTTTATATTAATAATTTCATCAGAAGATCATTTTATTTCGCACATACTGGGCACGCACGACAAGTATCCTGCTGTTGTACAGGATAATTAGCATTGCCCTAAACACATACATCCCAGATGCCAATGAATGCAAACATCAATAGCTGTTTATTGTATCATATATACGACGTCGGCGACACATCGCAGTAAAACCATTAGTATACTTCACTAATTTCAATGTATTAATACATCGGAAGCCCCAATGTCAACGACGATAAATGTCCATGTCAATGTCCGTCCGTCAGTCCGTCAGTCCGTCTGTCCGTCCGTCCGTCCGTCCGTCCATCCGTCCATCCGTCCGTCCGTTCTTCCATCTATCCAGCCACCATCCATCCACCCATCCATCCATCTACCCATCCACCCATCCACCCATCCACCCACCCATCCACCCATCCACCCACCCATCCATCCACCCATCCATCCATCCATCCATGCATTGGCTGTCGTATTACAATGACATAGCTTTTATTTTTTTTAATTAGATCGATAGGCATATCTAAACTGACAAGTTAATAGTTTTTGGTTGATACATATTTCTTATGTTTTAAGTATGTAAATTGGTTCGGTGTTAGAGAGTCACACAAGCGAGGTTTCTGGCCCCTCCCAGAACAGGAAGTTAAAACGAAGAAAATGTAGCATCCGAATGAATATTAGATAAAATGGCACAACATTGTATCTAGCAAAGCAATCTTTGACGTCTATTTGTGAACTAGGATCGCTGTACCAACGACATGCTGGCGTGGGAACGTGTCTATGCAAATTATCGGAATGGTAAAAGTACACGCCAAGCATAGGCACAGAGAGATTAATAGACAAATACCTGACCAAAATCTAGCCCGATGTTTAAAGCGAATAGTGTATAGTTTGTGTTTTAGACATTTCAATTATGTCATATCAGCGCTGCAAGCTGTTAATAATTTCTTTCTTTAATTTCTTCGTCGTTCTGAATTGTTCGATTGCGGAATCACGAACGTCATTATTAATCAAGTAATCACGACAACAATCGCAGCGTAAATATACGTGTGAATTCTGCATGATAAATTCGTGTTGACGCTAATTATGCTACGCTTAATCATGAATATTCTCGACACCGGTTTTCAATTCGATTGTTTTCGCCGATGAGACGTATATTCAGAACAACTCGTGTAATTTTGACGGCACCGATACTTTTATTGAATTGAGCATAGCAG